GGTGGGAGGGGAAGGGAAAGGAAAGAGAAAGGAAAAGGGAAAGGCTCGGTTGGGTGTGTTCCCGGGAGGGAGAGTGCTCAGGGTCCTCCACCTTAAGGGTTTTAAGGGTGGAGATTTTAGAGGAGGTCCCAGGGGAAGATCTTAACAGAATATTCAGCAGCTTTCCAGGTGTGTCCTTTCAGGGTCTAGGTCTCCACTAACTGATTGGTCGGGACCAGGGCAGAGGGTCATTATTCAATGCTGGTCCTTGAGGTCAGCCATGGGATAGCTTGTCTGGTTTTGCTGCTGCTCTGTGGCCTGGAGCTGAAACACAACTGAGGCCTAGATGTTATCTCTAGGGAGGAAAGGTCAGGGGGTCCAAACTTCATGACCAATGATATGCTAAGGGAGGAAATGTCACCCTGGGACAAGGTCCCACCCTACAGTTGTCCTTTGCTAGGCACCCAGGACTTTCTGCCCTGGTGACCTTCTGTACCTGGCCCATCATCCTTGCTCTGCTCATGTCTGTCTAACAGCCTACCATAGAACTAAACAATTTCTATTGCCTACTGATGTCATAGTGCTACATATTATATAAATATTTATCATTGTTACAACTGCCTACAGTATTCAGCACAGTAACATGCTGTACAGGTTTGTAACCTAAAAGCTATAGGAAAACAGAATTTGTCCCTCTAAATGTGTCTGTTTGCCCTAAGAATTATTTTAGGCTGGTTAATTTTAAGAAACACCAGACTTCAGAGAAACTGAAAACCAAGTAGAAGTTACTCCTTGTAAAAGACATTTTACAATTGGAAGGGAAATCTCCAATTGTAACGGTGTCTCCTGGCAATACCAAGAAGAGGTGGATGACCTTATCTCTAGAAATTCAATGCAGACTTACATTAAATAATTCCACCCACTTATGGAGGATTTGGATATAGACGGGGTAGAAGCTGGGTACCAGTTCACACGCCTATGAGTCAGTAAAGACTGAAATCATGAATGCCTCGTATTGAGTAGGTTATTCTGGAACATCATAAAAAATCACCACTGAGGTAAGACAATTCTATTAACTGGATGATCACAGGATATGCCCATCATACTTTTCCAGACATACCGTTTTTACTGCACGGGACTATGCAATCAATATACAGATTAGTTTTCATTTGGGGAAAGAAGTTCTGAAATATCCCCAGAGGCCATCAATTGAAAGTCCTCAAAAACAAAACAAAACAAAAAAACAACCCACAAAACTACTGGGCAACCGTGGGAAACGGGGTGGAAAAGAAAAGCTCCCCGAGTTCTTTGGAGGGGATAACTGTAAAAATACGTCAATGGCTAAGTTTCCTTGGCGCAGTTAAGTTAACGTGTTGCTTTTCACGTTGCTCCTACATCTGCAATGAACGTATGTGACGTTCTGGTGGAAAAGAAAACAGAACTCTTCCTGCAGCCTACCCTATGTCAGGAAAGAAAGCATCTGGGAAGGGGTCAAACAAAAGCCCCCCTCACCCCGGTCCCCGCCCTCGGAGACACTCTGGTAGGGCCCGGGGTGCGCTAGAGCCCAAGCAGGCTCGGGAAGAGAACCGGGCGCTGGTCGGGGGACAGAGACCGATAAACGGATGCTGAAGCGCTTCCAGGGCCTTAAAGGGTCTGGATCTACAGATGTTCGGGATGGGGGCGCCGCTGGTTGCAAAATCGGTGTGAGGTTTTCACCACGAGGGGAAGCCCCGCACGGGACCGCGCGGGAGCAGAGGGAGGGGAGGGCACAGGCGCCCGGACAGGCCCTGGCTCCAGACCTGGGGGATGGGGCCGCGGTGGGGGAGGAGAGGCTGCCAGGAAGCGGCGCCTGAGGCGATTAGGGAGGGGAGTGTGTGACTGTGTGTGACTGTGTGTGTATGTGAGAGTGTGTGTGTGTGTGAGTGAGAGAAGGGGCTTCAGATCCGCACACGGCGGACGCTCTCTCGGCGCGACACGGGGACAGGCCGCTTGGCAGTGCAAGGACCGGCGCGGGTGTCGTGCGTGACCGGAGCAGCCGCGGAATCCCTTTCACCTCCCCTCAAGGAACGCTTGGACCGCGCCGCGCCACGCCCCGTCCTTACCAGCCCGGGTGCGCGGCGCTCCCCGCGCCGGCCGAGG